AGGACGAGGAGGACGAGGACGAGGACGACGAGGATGACGACGACGTCGACAGCATCACCGACATTGCCGGCGCCAGACAAGCACGTGAGTTCAAGAGAAAGAGCAAGAAACACAGTTACAAGGGGCACAAACACGCGCGCAAGTCGCGCGCGCGCGCTGCGACCCCCTCCTTCAAGGCTGCCGTCTAAACGGGGGCAGGGGAACGAGTGGCAAGTCGCGAACAACGATTCCTGACTATCTGCTCAATTATACATGTCGATCTCTTCGTAGAGGCGCAACCGGGTCCTCTGGGTCGTTCACGAGCTTTAGATTGCTCGCGTGGTCGCTGCTGGCGGACTTATCTTGTTATTAGGGCGTTCTGGGTTTAGACGCTTGTTATATGGCCGAAAAATATTGTGGAGTATTGTAGAAGTATTGGAAGTAATTCCATGGATTGCACTATCTGAAAATTTGAAAATTGTATACACTTAAATTTCTAAATTTAAAATTTTTATTTCATCAAAAATTAATATTATTGCAAATAATAGTTGCACAAAAGCAAAAGATTTTCAGTACCTCCATACTTGAAGAACTAAACACACCACTATGCTAAAACTTAAGTTTTATTAAATTTAAAATTTTCAATATTTGCAAATTTTTACAAGAAAACATATTAATAAATTAATTAATAATTTAATAGAAATAGTTTCTACTTGTGTGGATATTAGCTTATATAATTTTTCCACAAACTTCGTTTAAACTAATTATTTTTTAAATTATTTCAAATTGCCATTAAGTACCTACCATTTTTCAATCTTATCGCCTACGTGAAGTAATTTTATACTTATTTTCTAATACATAGAAGTCTTAGTTCCAAGAATAGAGTTGTTTGATTTATAACAAGCTTGTAGAAAATTGATTGGAATAATAAGATAGAAATCAAGGTAACGAGTAGTACAAGTAGACCGGAAATAAGCCACTAATGCCGCCATTCTAAGCAAGATACAAACCAAGCAGCGAACGCGCGAACGCTTGAAAGTTAAGTAAACGGGCAAACATAACATGCTCAGAATAAAAAACTGATCCATTTTATTTTTGTCCGTTTCCTCAACTTTCATGTTAACATCCAGTTCACGAATTATTTCATCATTTTGCGAATGATCGAGTTCAATTTCGATAAAGCTTGCGGCTCTAACGACCGATGAGAACTTTGAAAAGGCAGAACATCCATCACGATTTAGATCGCGATCCAAGAAGCTCCTATCGACTGATGCTGTTCGACAGATTCCATTCTTCTCGAAACACTGTTCCAAAACGATTATCTTCATTCTTCATTTCGTTGGTCCATCCTTAATCTGTTTTAGCTCTTTGTTTTTAATAACGCGCGCAAAAGATATACTGCGCATGCGCTTAAATAATCAAGTAGAGGCTTCGAATATGTCATAAAAAGGCGCCAAATTTAAACAACAACTTATTACAGTTTTTATTTTATTCTTAATGAACAAAAATCGAGGTAGTGAAGATTTTAATAACAGATTTCTTAATTAATATGCAATACATTTTATAGTTCGCCATATTGAAATTTGTGACATTATTGCTACATTAATTTCTTCTCGTTTGTCTCATACATTTTGTTGAGCGATTAGTATAACGAAAAAAATCATTCGGACGAAAAACAAGGGCTAAAATGGGTTAATAGAACCGATGAGAGTGATCGAGCAATTTTTTATTAATCTATCAATCACTCGAACCTTTCCTTTCCTTCGATAGCTTATTTATTGCCTTCCGTTTAAAACGCTTAAGACGCTTGATTATTATTGTAAGTAGGTAGTGCAGTTGTGTAGTAGACTCTAGTTATATTGCAATTTTCACGTATATTAATGGTAAATCGGTATAAATTTTGTTTCTGTTGTGTTGTGTGTTCAATTATCAAGCGTGCAGTTGTCACGCGTTCAATTATCAAGCGTGCAGTTCTCACGCGTTCAATAAGCAAGCGTCGAGTTACCACGCGTTCAGTTATCAAGCTTTGAATTGCCACGCGTTCAATAAGCAAGCGTTGAATTACCACGCGTTCAATTACCAAGCGTTGAGCTACCACGTGCTCAATTATCAAATGTTGAATTACCATGCATTGAGTTATTAAACGTTGAATTACCACGCATTGAATTATTAAGTTTCGAATTATTAAACGGTAAAATACGATGCGTTGAATTATCAAGCACTGACTTACCACGAGTTCAATTATCAAACATTCAGTTACTCCGCGTTCATTTATCAAGCGTTCGATTACCACGCGTCGAATTACCAAGCGTCATCGCAATATAACTAGAATCCACTAGTAGTAGTAGTAGTAGTAATTTAATAACGATAATATTTATTCTATTTCTAATTTTTATTTATTAATATCGTAGTCTTTGCTCACAATCATTTGCATGTCGAACAGCATAGCGAAACCAGGAAGCTGAACGCTTTCAAACATCATAGTAAATTATGAAGAGGGGATTGTACATAGTTAATGTGTTCGAAACTCGCGTAAGAGTAGCTAATGGAACGAAAACAAATTCGAAGTACCTTTTCGAGAACTATCGAATAAAAAGTAATAAATAAAAAAGATATTGATTAAAGTTAAACGAAGGAAAGGTACTTCGACGGTGTGAGATGGATAGCGTATTGAAAGGTGCTTTGGCTTGGTGACCTCACGTCACGTATTTTCTTTCTTTTCCCGAACCATTTGTCGAATGAAGAAACTTAAGAAATGGGATTCCGCGTGTTTTATGTAAGAGTGAGAGAGAACGAGTAAAGCA